TGCTAGAAAAACTTTTTGAAACACACAGGCTCACAAATATCTCATAATATTTCTTTGTGAACATCATCCATCTAATAAAATGAGTTTATTAAAAGACAAAAATAAAAGAAAAAGAGGCAGAATTCTTGGCCATAGGTCATTTTGTAACTGTCTTATGGCTTCTTACTTGAGGTCATAGAAGAATAAGATTACATACTTAAAGGGTAACGTTGGTATTTTTCAATCTGGACTCTGTTTCCCTTGTTTTTGTGTCTAAGTGGAGACAACAATATTTAAAACTGGTCCAGTACTGAGCGAGACCACGGCAGCCGGCAGCAGCAAACTGACTGCAATGTAACATTAAAGGGCAATTGTGCACCATCAGTTTAAGCCCATTAAAAGTGCTTGTTTTTGCCACTGACAGGCTCAGATTGTTATTACAAGTGTCTGACAACTTTCTGGAAATTATCCCTACACAGACAGACCTTTTTGTTGAGGAGTACAATCTTTTTTTGTTTAACCAGAAACAGCCCCAGAATCATTATCGCCGAACCTACAAGACTCCATTTGAATAAACAGCCATTTATTATCTTAGAACACGCTTATTCAAAGTTGACAGGAAGAAAAAAGTGTCCGCAAGTCAACTTGGTTGTCTTTCATCTGTGTCAACAATCACCAACTCTGGTTTGGTTGACATAAACCCTGAATTAACCTTTAATTATATGTGGAAATATGCTGGCTTTATACACACTAAAATAAAGATTTATTAAAATGGAGTCACAGGGATTTGGTGATGACAATATTGGGGTTGTTTTTGGTAAACCATAAATGACAAAACAAAAAAAATACTCTAACAAAATGGTTTATCTGTGGAGTCTTTTTGAAATGTTGTCAGACACTCATAATAACAATCTGAGCCTGTCAGTGACAAAAACAAACACTTTTAATGGACATAAATTGACAGTGCACAAATGGCCCAAACAGCTGTAGGCTGCAGCGCTCACGCTCAGTGATGGTCCACTTTCAAAAACTGTTGTCTCCATTAGTCACTTAGACACAAAAACGTGGAAAAATAGGGCCCGGGTTGAAAAATACTAAAGTAACCGTGTCTAGGATTTTGCTGCATCTAACAGTGAGGATTACAGATTGCATCCAGCTAAAATTCTTCCATTAGAAATTCTTTAGTGTTCACTATTCAGGATTTTTTTTTTTTACTTGGAACCAAATTATCTGTAGAGGTTTCTTCCTCTCCAAAACAAACAGATCAGATGATTAAACGGGTAGAAACACTGAACAAAGCAGTTTCACATTTCAAATCAGTGTTTTTCTGAGGCTGTTTGGCTTGTCACAGACGGGGCTGCTAGCCAAGCACTGATGTGTGATCACCTTTTTCTAATCCAAGCATTCAGGAGGATTTTACCAGGAACCTCCTCCTCTCCAAAACACAGGGACTCTGCCATTTAAACCATTAAAAACACTGAATGAAGTATTACCCATTGACAGCAATGATTCATGACGGCACGAGTGGTGTGGTTTAGTTTTTATATAAGCCAACCAAAAAGGCAAAATTAAATGTTTTAGTAGTGACTGATACACCACTTGGGCTATTCCAAAGTCAACACACATAGCTCCAATTGAGAATGAAAGCTATCACACAGCTGATGTGAGAGACCGATGACACAGTTAGAGCTAACAGTGTGGGTTCAAATAAGGTAAACAGTTACATAATCCAGTAGGGGTATCTCAGAAGATAAACCTGCAGAGGGAAAGTGGCTCTGACAACGAGTGTTATATTTGGTGCCTTTGAGAGAAAAGGATTTGACCTGCAGCTTGAAAACACCTGAAGAGACCATTTGCATTCTGAAAAAAGGTTATCTGTTTTCTTGAAAAGCACTGTGAAACTGCAACATGACTTTTCTGAATAAACACAACCTGGTATCAAGTAATCTAGAATATGTTATGTTAATTTGTAAAAGGTCTCTCTGTAAAAAAAACCTTGCTCTCAGAGGAACTTGTGTACTCTGAACTACAGATGCCATCATGTGACATGGCTGCATCTGCTGCTGCAGTGATTCACCAGCACCCCCTGCAGCCAGCTCCAAGGAGCATCACCAGTACAGAGGAGATCAGACATATTAACACTCAGTGCTGTTATATGGATGAATATTGGCCTTGTCCACAAGTGACCAGAACCCACATTGGCCATGCCGTGTTCAGCCCAAGTCCAATGCTTTGTAACACTTTATATTCCAAGCTTGGCCAGGTTTTCAAATGCCATCCTGTGACCACTTAATAAGTGTTAAGGCAGATTAGATACTACAGTAAATCCCAGTAACACCAGTGGATCAATCAAATGTTTCAGACAATCAAATGGGCAGGTGTGGGTTCATGTTGGCAAGGTTTGAATGAATGATGGCTTTGTATGTTTCTGCAAACCACAGGTATGTTACTTTTGTATACTTTGTATGTTATTGTGTTGCAAATATGTTGAAACTTTATGTTTCTTTATGTTTCAACATTGCTGTGGATAATGTGTGGTTAGGTTTATGTACAAACATCACGTGGTTATGGTTAGGCGAAGATTGTGTTTTGGCTTAAAATACCCATTTTGGTGGCACAATCCTAGCAAGAAATGCAGAAATAGGCTACCTTGATTTTAAAAAATCACTTTTCGTGGAAAAAAAGTGACAGGTCGCTAAAAAAACACCCATGTGTGTTGGTGGCTAAAAAGCAGTTTCAGGCACAGCAAGAACTCTTAAAAAAAAGCAGTTTTGTTGTTTTTTGGTCTCAAACAGAGATCTTCGCAGCTTCGCATTAGTTTCGCATGTGTCACACACTGTCACGTCCAGCTTGAGAAATATAACATAGAATGCAAGGTATCCATGGTTTACAGAAACCTACAATATCCAAATTGTCTTCTGGTGATTAGGCTGGTTTAACAGTAGGCTTTAGTGCAGTTAAGTCCGTAATAAGGATCCAGCCATATGATTAACAGCTGAGATGTAGATTATGAAGCTTTGACTCTTCACATCTTCTTTGCTTTGGCGCTTAAATGCCAAAAGAACAACTGTCTTGTTGGAGCTTGCCAGGTACTTTCACCATAGTGGCCTACAACAGGAGTTGAGTGGAGACTGAAGATAGTGTAATAAGATGATGCCTTACTCGCATATTAAAAAAAAAGAGGCTCGGGACCTTGACGGGCCAAGTTCTTTCCTGGTAGGGCAACGAACAAACAAACAAACGAAAAATAAACAATAAATGTACAGTAAATTTCAAATATATGCATTCCGAATTTAAACATCTTGTCTTGCCATCTCCTCCCTGGTGTCTAATGTACTGCTTCACATGTTCAGTAGCAGTAGAGCCTCCTATGAATCTTAGGAGAGACTCGCAGCTATGAGAAAGGAAGTAGTGACAATAAATTCCACAAATATATGGAAACAGTGCCAAAGATCAACTTTTCTTTCAGGAGCAGAAAGAGATGTTTTGGTTGATAGTGGGCCATAGTAACGTGTTGCAGCCTTGCTAGAATGCTGTATGATTACTGTCATTTAGAAAATATATATTTATATATATATTTAGGGCCGGATGTAATAATGAATCCTAAACATGTAGAGGACCTTATGATATTGTCCTGAGAGCTGGAGCTGGCTGTAGAAGCAGTACACCCCTGGTTAAGACACACATGACTGTAAAAGCCATTTGTAAAAGCAGTGGTGGAAGAAGTATTCAGATATTTTACTAGTAAAAGTAGCAATTAGGGCTGGCAGGGTATCAGATTATCACCACATGATTATTGTGGCCAAAAGAATTAGCAGTAACAATATTATCACAATATCTAGGCTTATGGAAATTTAAAGAAAAAAAAGAATAATCATGCTGTCAGTCACATTCAGCTTTAACTCTGTTTGTATGCATTTTGTCTCTTTATTTGGAAATGAATTACTTTCATAATACGACTGCAGGGAGATGGAGAGAGAGTCTGTAACCATAACTGTGCATAGTCACAAAAGAGAGCATTAAACTAAATGGGCACCCAGTGGCTCACTTAGTAGAGCTTGAGCCCCGTGTACAAAGGCTATGTCTTTGCCGCAGCAGCTGTAGGTTCAATTCAAACCTGTGGCTCTTTCGTACAACAAAAAAAAACATTAATGGGAAGTGAAAAGGAAACCAGGAGAGAGACATAACAAGAATGGACAGAAAGAGAAAAGAGTTAAGAGGTGCTGGATTATTTACATGATGTTACGTCCTGCATTCAAAGTCTTACTATAGTAAAAGAGAAGTAACAGCATCAAAATATTCTCAGAGTAACAAATGTAAAAGCAGTTATTATGCAGAGTGACCCATTCCAGAAATATATATATTATATTACTGGCCTTAAAATATTGATGCATTCATGTGTTTATCACTTTAATGTTGCAGCTGGAAAAGATGGGGCTAATTTTAATCAGTTAATTCACTATGCAGCTATTAATTATTACTTTTACACTACAAACAGCTGGGTAGCTTAACCTGTAATAATAATTTATTGGTTGATTTATAATTTTGTATTGATAATCTACATCTGTAAAGTAATGAGTGAAGTGAGTGGAGTAAAAAAGCACAATATTTGCCTCCAAATTGTAGTTGAGTAGAAGTATAAAGCAGCATGAAATGGAGATACTCGAGTACAAGTACTTTCAAATTGTACCTAAGTAGGCTACATGTAAATGTGGGCCTACTTTGTTACATTCCACCACTGTGTAATGGGAAAGTTGGTTGCAGACAATGATAAAACAGCGTACCCCCTATATGACCACCTCTTTATGCTGATCTTCTCTAGAATGGAAGTTTAGTATATGAAGCCATGTTTTATAGGGCCAGTAATCCAGTGTAGTTTGATGATGAAGCCTGGTGGGACATTGTGATTTAGGTCAGCTACCCGAGAATCAGACAGAGTGAGGCCTCTCTTTGTTTTCCTGCTCTCTGGGATGGACTAAATGCTACGTTAGTGCTCAGTGACGCAGTTACGTCATCAGTCGGTAGGCGGAAAATCGGTAGTGTGCTTCAGTATCAGAAGATAAAGCCACACCGGGTGCTTTTATTAAGGAGATTGATACAGGAGATATCAAAAGGTTAGCTTCGTGCCTGCTGAAATGGCGGTCCCTGCGGGTCACACAGATGTACAGATGGACAGAGGCGCCCTGAGCGGACAGACTGTTTCCTCTGAAAACAACATTGACATCGACGAGAAAGAGTTGGAAAATATCACAAAGAAACAGAGAGAAGACGAGACGACAGCACTGCCTTTGCACTCACCTTGGACGTTTTGGCTGGACAGGTAATGTTTGACGGCTGCTCCGCGGTGTGTGTGAGTTTTATAGCCCGGGACGAGGAGTAATGATGGAGGAAAAATAAGAGGCAAGGCCAGAGCTCTGAGCAGCAGGCCTCCAGGAGCAAATGTAGCGGGAGAGTGTTCAACATGAGCCTGTGCTGTCCACAACATCGTTAAAAAGTTAGCATGTGTACGGCTATGTTGTTATCAGAAGCAATGCCTCCTATATAACATGGTGGACATGTTTAGCTTCATATTTTTTTGGTATTCAGACATGGAGTTGTTAACTATAGCTGTGTTCCCCAGGAGCCTGACTCTGAGAGCGTCTGAGAAGTAGCACAGTTACAGCTTCACCTTCTCCAGCAGTCAAATAAAATGTGAAAACACGTCACATACACGGTCACACATCATAAACTACTGCTGTGATGGACTACGTTGTTATCCCCATGAGATTAGTTGTCTTTCATCTGTTTTATGAGACCATGGGAATGTTACGTTGTCGATTGTTTCACCTTCCGCCATGGAGCAGATCAAAGGTTCCTACAGTGTGATGACACAGGTTTGATCAGCGTTAGTCACAGTTTATGTGTTTGCTCAGCGTGTTGAATTTAAACCAGTGACACATTAATTAAACCTGAGACCTTTCAAAGGACCCACATCTCATTAAGACTAAATCATAGTCAATCAACTTATTAGTTAAAAGTAATAAGCAACAATTTCTTTTTCTTTTTATTTCAGAAGAGTGCACAGTAATCAGCAAACATACAAATACGACAGTACACCAATATCATCATGTCAACAAAACAAAACAAATAAACAAAAAATGCAACAGTATAAGTGTGTGTGTGTGTGTGTGTGTGTGTGTGTGTGTTAGGGATGCACAATATTGGACCTTTTGCCGATATTTGATATGCCAATATGTAACAATTCATTTGACCATTAACTGATATCGATATATCCACTTTTTTCCCCACCTTATTTTAGTGATCATTAAGTCTCTCCTGTAGTGGAATTAACATCATATGATGAAACATGAGCATGAAATACAATACTTTCTTTTCAATAATATCCATTCATTGTGTAAAATAAGAAATCACATGTTAGCTGTGTCTGATGCTTCATTTAAAAGCCAATATTGCCCGATTGCAATGATGTACCGATATTATCAGTATGCTGGATGATTCCAGTATTAAATTTTAAAGCTGATATCATCCAATACCAATGAAAACCGATAACGTGCTGATATATATATATATACACATACATATATATGGGTGTGTGTGTGTGTGTGTGTGTGTGTGCATATATACATAGACACACATATACATATATTAACAAAAACAGCTACAAAATTGGAAGTAATAATACTGTAATATGACCTTATTTCATGGTACACCTGTATCCATAAAGGTTCATGGGCAGAAATTGTTTAAGTACATTATTGATCACAGTCATGTTTTGATATTTGGTTCTAATAACAGCTCAAGGGTTAGAGGAGACAATTTTCCAAAGTATGCATTTCTCTGCAATATGTTATAGTGAGGGTGGCACGGTGGTGTGGTGGTTAGCACTCTCGCCTCACAGCAAGAGGGTTGCCGGTTCGATCCCGGGCGTGGGAGCCCTTCTGTGCGGAGTTTGCATGTTCTCCCCGTGTCAGCGTGGGTTCTCTCCGGGCACTCCGGCTTCCTCCCACAGTCCAAAGACATGCAGATTGGGGACTAGGTTAATTGATAACTCTAAATTGTCCGTAGGTGTGAATGTGAGCGTGAATGGTTGTTTGTCTCTATGTGTCAGCCCTGCGATAGTCTGGCGACCTGTCCAGGGTGTACCCTGCCTCTCGCCCAATGTCAGCTGGGATAGGCTCCAGCCCCCCCGCGACCCTTAAGAGGATGAAGCGGTTAGAAGATGAATGAATGAATGTTATAGTGATTAATACTCTACAATTTTTCACCAAATTGTAAATCAGGCATATCATTTGATAAGTAGAGACAGGGGGTTAAGTCAGATTGAATGAATCAAATTCCATAAACTTGTCAGTAGATGGACTTACTGTTAAATATTCCTGTTGAATATGGCATTGATTTCAAGATTCTGCTTCTCACCTTTAAGGCCCTTCATAGTCAGGCCCCATCCTACCTCTCTGAACTCCTTCATATCTACACACTCTCTACTCTTAGATCCTCCTCTGCACTCCATCTCACATCGCCATCTGCTTGCTTGTCTACGATGGGTTCTAGAGCCTTCAGCCGTTCTGCCCCCGCCCCTGGGACTCTCTCCCCCATGACATTCACAATATTGACTTCCTGTCCACCTTCAAATCCTATTTGAAAACACACCTTTTTAAGTTGGCATACTCAGTCTGATTTCATGGTGACACACATATTGACAGTTGCACACATGATGATTTTATACCTAATATTTATAATTATGATATATGTTCAGTCATTTTGTTAACTTTTATTGTATGTTACTAAATTGTTTGATTTTATGATCTATGAACACATTAATGCTTTTTTTTACTGTCTTGTAAGGTGTCCCAATTTCTATTATTTTCCAAATCATTACAGTTCTAGTTTTATTAGGTCTAGTGTGTAGGATTTAGTGATAACTACCAGTGAGGTTGCAGATTGCAACCAAATAGAACTTCTCTTGAGTGCCAAGTGTGTAGGAGAACAGCTATGGCTGACACGAAAACAAGAATGGCCTTATATGTATTTTTCGGTTCTGGGCTATTGTAGAAACAACATGGTTGATCCATGAAAGAGGACCCACTCTGTATGTTGATAAAAAAAATGAAACAATTCTTAATTTCAGGCGATTATACAGTAACAAAAACATATTTATTAATATAATATTCCATTTCTGCCAATGTATCCCCCTAAATCCTACACACTGAATCTTTTAATTAAATATATTTGGGTTTTAACTGACAAAATTATTAAAGAGGTGTCACATGGGGCTCTCAGAATTTGCAGTGGGAATTTTTCTCTATTTCAGCGATTAAGCAGTTGACAGTAACATAATGGACAGTCTAATCAATAATGAAACGTATTGTTAGTTGCAGTCCTAATGAAGACGGCTTGGTGTCAAAGGGCTATTTTTATCAAAAACTAGATTAGAAATGGTATAATGACCTCATACAAATTATTTTTGGTTTCATTATCATTGTACACACCACATAATCTATGTAGGCATTGATTTTTACCAAACCTCTCTTTAAATAAAATACAAACCTAGCAAAACTCTGTTCTAAGGCTGGTCAACACTCTTGTTCCATCAGTGTATCATTACTGAGGCCTCAAACAGTTTTCCCTTGTTCTTCCAGGTCATTACCAGGCACTACGGCTGCAGAATGTGAATCCAATCTGAAGAAGATCTACACTGTGCAAAGTGTTCAGGTGAGTTTTGGTGTCAGCTTAAACAGCTTCGTCATCTTAAGAGCAAAGAGATCAAGTGCATGACTTGGCTAGGAGACAAATTTGCTTGAGAAGAGCTTCCCTGATTCAGGGCATAAGCCGCTGATTTGCACTTAAAGCTACAGTCGACACAAGGTGGTGGGAAAAAATGAGACCATTTTATCCTGAAATATGAACATGTAGCGCACGCTTTATTGACACCATATTACATCAGCTTCTTCTCCTGAAATTCAAACTGTTTCAAACTATTGTTACTGCGAATGTTCAAAGTTCCTGTTGATTAACATCTTGTTGTTTTGCAAGTGTAAGAGTAGCTTCTGATGTGTGTTTCTGCTATACATTGCATGTTGCAATGCGTACATTACTGCCCTTTGATGTGATGCTCTGATGGCTTGTTGTCAAGGGGATGTCAGTGTATTGACTTTTAGCATTTAAACTGTAATAAACTAAACATAAGGTAACATTTAAATATAAAGATGGACATTATGCAACAGATCTAAGTTAGTATTATTTTTGTGGAGGTGTTTGAGGTTTGTTTACACCGCTAATTGTTGTAAACATAGAAGTGAAACTGGCTTGTAGTTTCAGTTTGAATAAGCGGAGACACACAAAATACAGTAAGTCAATCTCTTATCTCATATATGTGAATATGCTCGTTTTACTGATTGGGACATTAAAGCTGAAATCCAAAGCCTTTCATACGGTGTTACCTGAGAGCAATGATAGTGGAGTGTGTAGTGTGTGTAGACAAAACCTGTAAAATACAAAACAAGCAAAGTGTGACACAACCGCTGATATTGGATTTAATAAACTTTGACAAACTGGACGAAGGGGGCAAAATTTTGCTTTTGTGTCACAGAACATTAGCTCTGTCTTGGAGTTTTAAGAAACTTAACGGCAAGTCTTTTCAACATGTTTCCCTTTGTGCAGATGTTCTGGAGTGTATACAACAACATCCCTCCAGCCACAGCCCTGCCTTTGAGATGTAGCTATCACTTAATGCGAGGAGAACGGAGGCCCCTGTGGTGAGTCTGTTATTATTGCAAATATTATTATTGTATTCCTGAACACCGGCATGAACAGAGGGCAGATTCTGACTGGAGCTCATGTCGTAACTGTCATGTGATAACTTGTTAAAATGTAATGCAGAATTTCTTCCATTGGACATACAAGAAACTGATAATAGTATAAGTGCAATACGATGACCACTCAACTTAAAAGGGACGCAGAATATATTTAAGTATGTCATAAAAGCTTGAATTATTACGTTGCTATCACTATTATAAGACCATCAGTTAGACATGTCAGATGATATCTGGTAGTGCATATATATTAAAGTGTCACTGTTTATATAGATTACAGATTTTACAGTGCACTCTAATGGACATGTTTGCACTGTGATAACTTTTAACGTTATCCAAGATTTGTCTTCATGTCTTTTGAATTAATTTTAAGCATGTATTGTAAACTGGTCACTTGTATAGGGTTGCTTAGTACAGTAAGTATTAATTAAAAAAAAATCTTCTACACCTATAGGGAAGAAGAAAGCAACGCAAAAGGAGGAGTATGGAAGATGAAAATACCAAAAGAAAGCACTGTAGGTGGTGTTAAGCTTCTTTTCACATAATCACATAATAATAAATACCTGACTCATGAAATCGCTCCTGTGTGTTCTTCATGCTTCAGTCTGCAGTTTGGAAAGAATTGTTACTTGCTACTATTGGAGAGCAGTTTGCAGATTACTGTGCCTCAGGTGAGCTACTTTAAGTCTATATTTGATATTTTCTGTTTTTCAGAATGAAAAGAAATATCAGGGATGCACAATATTGTTTTTTTTGCCAATAACTGTTCTGATAACTGCCAATTATTGTACATCCTTAAGAAATATGCTTTTTCTCAATGTGGCTGTTGAGTTGATAAGTATCTATTGTCTGTTTTGCCTCCCTTTATTTCCCAGACGATGAGGTAGTTGGTGTCAGTGTTAGCGTTCGGGATCGGGAAGATGTCGTACAAGTCTGGAATAGCGATGCATCTCTCGCTAACGAAGCAAATATCTTGGGAAAAGTCTATGAGCTCCTCCCCTACATATCTTTTAAAGCTGTTTTTTATAAGCGTAAGTATGCTCATTGTTTCCACGTACATGTACAGGACATTTTGGATTCAAAAATGGAAATGAGCTGTAAGCTTGCAAAGGCAGAAATGTGGAAAGGCAAAAACAAAAAGGCAGACTCTGAAAGTACAACCTCCTCCTGTAGCTCTCTTGTCGCTGTCCTAAGCCCCTCCCACCAGACAACAACAGGCGTATGCAGGCATTTTATACAGTAACCCAGTGTTTCCCATACATTGACTTATTATTCTCATTTCATTAAGGGGGTTGCAGAAAGCGCATTCACTCAGCCCCTCCTTTTCACACTTTTCTCCTTCACCTGCCACTGTGAACTGCTTCCCCAGAAGAAAAGCAGGCAGCAGCTCGGGAGACGGACCTTAGGTTGGCCGCTGTAGCGACTTGAATTTGGCCAGTGCAAACCTCTCATATGTCTGAAATGCTTTACCAATACTGACACGTTTTTACGTCATATATTTTCGGAATCACATTTTGACTCTCTTTTTGACAAGTCCATTTTCCTTTTTTGGGTTGCTTTGCAGTGTAGGCAGTTGTCGCTAATGCTGGAATAGCAACTTTCATTTCAGAATTCTCTGCCTTTGAATCAGGCTTTCACCGAAGGGATGTGTGTGCACATCTGTTTTTGTAGAACAGCCAATAGGGACGCCATCTCTCAAAAATGACCTATGATTGGCCAAAGTTTCCCATCATGGCCTAGATTTTCTGAGGCCTCACAACAGAAGCAAAAGGAGGTACACATGTGTAGTGTTCTTAAAAACAACTTGAAACCACTTTAATTACAACATGCTCAGAGGTTAATATGGGTTAAACTGCCTACCCCATATTAAGTCATGTCAGACTGTAGTCAAAAGAATGTAGCTGTACTGCAGATTGAACTATGCACATTATAAGGGCATATTGGTTGTTCTAAGCAGAGCATGCAAGCATGCCAGAGGATTATTTAAGGAGTGTACATAGCTAATCGGGGCTTTATGTTGCAGACAAATACCCCCATATGCTGTCGTACCTGTTCCACATATTCACATAGGCTAGTCTTGCCACAACATGTTAAACACTTGTACCAAAAGTGTAATGAGCTACAGTGTAATTAGGTTAAACTGGAACATAAGCAGAATAAGTTTTGGCTGAATCATTACCAGTTTTTAAATGAAACTTTTCATGTTGAAACAAACAAAAGTCATTCTGTAGTAAAGGGCTGGTTTATACTCACCATGAATCACTTTGACTCTTTCAGCTCACATGGATCATCATGCCTTTGAAGGAGGACGCTCAAGACATTAAATGATTGTAACGCACTTTTTTTTTATTTTAACCTGAACTCTGTACCTGCCTTCACGTCGAGGCGCTGTCCACAACCTAATCGAGGATATTATTTTGCATTCAACAAAAATTGTTATCAATATATTTTTATAACTTTTAATGACTGATGCCTTTTTTTTTGATTGTGGGTCCTAGAGCTCTGAACTCTTCAGAGAATGTATATCCAGCATTAATCTCATCCCGAGTTCATTAGTTCATGTTGGTTTTGACCTGCTATACTGAACTGCACTGTCTTGGTCCTGTTGTCTGCACGGCCAATGGACCTCACAATTTATTCCTGGTATAGAGGTAGCAGCTACATAATTAGTGTGTTTTAACTGTTTGATATGTAAGATATCTCAATTCATATCACATTTTAATTAAGTCAGTTTAGTCAGTGCCAAAGCACTTTTCTGCCATTTGTATCCTTTTGGTGTTTTATTCAGCTGGAGCTTTTCCACTTCTGAGGATGGAGTGAATGTCCCATTTGGTTTCTTGAAACTTCATCAGCTGTACATCAAATTTAAATCAGGGTAACACTTGGAAATATTGCACATGACTACCTATTCCAATCACAGTGTCCCTCAGTTGTAAAGCCATCACAGGGGATCAGAACACATCCCAGCGCAGACATGGCCCTAAGATACTCAGCTTAAGTTAAAAGAGCAAAACCCATCCTGAAAGGTGCCTCTTTGAATCTCCTCAGCCACACTGCATTTGACATTCCTCTCAATACACGTGTTGAAAGTCGACCCTCTGCTGTCCTGAATGGGGTCACGCATCGTTTAGTGTATTACTCTGAAAAGATACTGCACATTTTTGTGCTCAGCTAGTGGTGCTCTGTAGTACTTGTCTGTACTTGTTTTTCCTACTGTATCTAGTTTACTTACTGAACTGTGTCCTTATAACAATAACACACACAGGAAACTGCAGCTTTCAAGCAAGTAACGTGAGGTCATGCTATTCCCATAGTTAGCATATGTAGATACAATATGTCAAATGTTAAGTAAAACATGACAGATGTGGTGAGTGTCAGTAGTCGTTGAGTCAATGTTAACTGCTGCTTCAAAGAAAAGTACACTTTAAATCAGATGTTATACTGACCTTGCCTGTTTGATCATACTGAGAAATAGCATCATTATTAATAGAGAAAATAGAAGCATATTTTTCTATCAGCTCCCTTTACAAATCTGGGACATTTTTGTGAGACTTCATCACCCAGATCGAGTTACCCTCACTAACACACTTATATTATCGCAGTGTAGGCTACAGTAAACAATGCTTCTGGTATTATTGTATGTCACACCACTTTTTATAGTTCAACTTTGGACTGGTTGATACGTTACTAATAAGGGGACAATATTTCATTTGTAAACATGACTTTTGCAGTGACTTGGAGAAAGTAAATAAATTGGAAAAGAAATGCAATTATTATCATGTGTGTTTCTTCTCTCACAGTACAGTCAACAACAAATTTCCCCCAACCTAGTCACCAGAAAAAATGTTGGCTTCCATTTCTGACAAACCACAGAAAGGTTACATTTGTACTTTCTTATGCAGTAGATAACTTGAACCTTCATGTTTCATTATGTTTTAACAATGCTGTGGTCGGCTTGTGGTTAGGTTCAGGCACGTAAAGCACTTACAGTTAGGAAAAGATTGTGTTTTGGCATTAAATACCCACTTTTGAGGGCACCCACTGGAAAAGCAGTGGTATCACTATTCGGGGCACTATCCCCAGTGGATACACAGCGATGACCTGCTAAAACACAGCCAGTTTTGTTGTTGGTATTAAACAGTGGTCTGCAGCTTGGCAGGCATCTTGCCCAGGTGTCACGCCGTCCACCAACCCCTTCACCTCCCAATGATTAAGACAGCTCATTGACTATGTCACTTTATAAATGTTCATATGATACATATGAAGCCTGCAGACGTAATGTATTCATGGTTTGAAGAAATGTACAATGCCAACATTTTCTTCTGGTGATTGGGCTGTTTCCCCCCATCCTGACACAGGGGGAGTGTGTTAATATCTCAGCGTTTCAGCATATTTCACTTTGCCAAGCTGTTAAGTACTGATTTATTACATTTAATAATACCCTTTGCACATTGTACTCCTACTGGAAAGCAGTGTGTAACAACGGCTCAGACTAAGTAAGACCATTCTTTGAGTGACACTTTCAATAGTCAGTATTACCAGTTGATAATGTTGTGCTTTCATGTATTAAACCACTTTTTAGTTTTTCTCCTTGATTTGCCTCAGTGTGTTCACAGGCCTTTACACTTTTAGCAGATATTTTAGCTTATGCCAGTATTAATGGCTCCATTCTGTTAAAGTGTCCCAGTAAGCCAGACACTGACAGTGAGCCAGCATGTACAACACCACAACTGTAAAACTGGAACAGCCAGATTCAAATTTAGTCACAATGAATTTTATCTTTTACACCTGTGTCATTGTCATGTTAAATGTTTTTAGTGTTAAAGGCCCATTAAAGCTGCATTATTAAAACTTGGCCACATGGTGGCAGCACATCAAGCTGTGAACACAACATTGACATTATCACCAGAAAGTTAATATCTCAAACAGTTGCCTATTTATCGCAAACATTTGCCACCAAAAGAATAATTCCAATATTTACTCTTCTTTTAGCAACCCAATTGCCAGAAAAAATGTTGCCGTTTTAAGTATCTGCACCACAGAGACGTTACATTTGTATGTTATTATGCAGAAAATACACTGAAACTTTACTTTTCAACAACACTGTAGATAACGTGTCATTAAGTTTAGGCACAAAAAGCACTAGGTTATAGAACTTTCATAAAACTGTCCAAGCTGGAAATGCAGCAATGTCATGCTAAAAAACAACCCATTTTCTTGGCACCATCCCGGCAGGAAACACAATGATGTCTTGGTAAAAACAACCGTTATTCTTGGTGAAAATACAGCCACAGGTTGCTACCCAACTTTGGTAGCTAAAAAGCTGTTGGGAAAACTGCGATGACTCGCTGAAAAACAACTGGTTTTGTTGTTGTTGTTGGTCTCAGTGATTTGCAGCTTGGCAGGCACTCGCCGAGGTGTCACACCATCCACCATCCACTCCACCTCCTGATGACAAAGTCAGCTCATATACCAAACCAATACCAGCATTGATATGGTATGTACGAAATGTATAAATGTAACATATTTGTGGTTTGCAAACGTACAAAGCCAACATTTAATACAGGTGACTGGGCTGCTTTTAGCTCTGTTTTGGTCTCTACCAGATGATGAGAAAAATATCTGGTGCTGTAGCAGCTTAGCAGCTAGCAGCTAACTTTGTTGTCTGGTGACTGGTGCTGTGTGCATCATGTACAGTGGGTTTTTTAAATGAGTAGTTAGTTAATTTGTCAGCGTAAAACACTCTGTAGAGCAGCAAACCGCACAATTACGTGCTCTGTGGTTTTGGCAAAGGCAACATTTTTCATATTACACATCATAATTTGATCTTTTGTTGCAGTTTCAAAGACATAGATGTGATCATTTGCGAAAATACACAATCTAGGGTTAGGGAATTAATGAATGGTGTGGCATATTTGTGTATTTAAGCACTGGGATTAAATGACCCCATGGAGCTCACTTTTAATCATCAATATGACAGTATGACATCCATAAGTATCTAGATTTAAACATGAGGAAATAAAAAGTATTATGTACATTGTTCAAGAGTCTCACCCTTGACTTGTCTGTGCTCAGGTTCAGACAGGGTTGATCTTGGTCTGCATCCTCTGTGGTGATAACATGCGTTCAGAAAGCTTGACAGTCATTAAGAAAACCAGTGCAGAGTACATCTACCTCCACTCTGTGCTGATCATGCCTATACTGAGCTGCACTCTCAAATGGCTACTGTGGGCCAGCACACTTAGCATCTCACAAACACGTCTGTATCCACGGTGAAACATTAGAGGGACTCACACGCCAGTGGCTTGTGGTTCAGAAACATTTCTTTAATGATTAGGGGAAAGAGGAGCAGCTGACCCTGCCAGCAGCAGCTACAAAGAAAAGCCTCTTGATCTTTAGGGAAATGCTCCTGTTCTTCCATGATTTGCACTGACACACACCCTTTGGGCTACATTTCAAAAAACAACTCCCTCAGTTAGATAAACCCTTGCATGAAAACTTGTTGAATGTTTTTAATACCTTTTTTAAAGACCATTGAAACCTAATTTTCAGCGATGCTGTTGAAACATAATATTTGTTTCTGCAACAGTCTAGTCGTAATTCATCCTCCGTGTAAGACACTAATGAATCCCAAAAGAAAGAATGTTTATCACCTGTATTGTTATAAAATGAGGTAAGTGTTATGCTTTTACACTGCGCAAACACTAAAATGAGCATGCTGATCACAGCTTGATGTTATTAGCACTTATCGTGGTAACAGTGACATCAGACCCAGAATAAAAAAAATGTGAGAGCTTACTGTTCTCTGCTCATGTTGTGTCATGTCTTTAAAGAGGCACTTCAGCCCCAAATCAAAAATACATATTTTTCCTCTGACCTGTAGTGCTATTTATTCATCCAGATTGTTTTCGTGGAAGTTGCTTAGTGTTGGAGATATTGGCCTTAGAGATGTCTGCCCTATCATGAATATAATGGAACTAGATGGCACTCAGCTTGTGGTGCTCAAAGCACCAAATAAAAATAAATTTGAAAAACTCAGCATCAATGTATTTTCCCAGAAATCATGACCTGGTTACTCAAGATAATTCACAGACCTTGTTGTGAGCAGTTTCATACAGGAACTATTTTCTGTCTACCGAATTACACTTGCCAACCGTATCACTGTGCAGAAGGAAGTGTCATGGATGAGACGCTTGTGTTGGTGAGGGGTGAGCTGTAATGTTAGCTAGCTCAGTGGTGCTAGGTGAGCTAGGGTTAGTGATACAGTTGGTGGGTCTAGTTTAGCAGAAAGAAAATAGTTTCTACATGAAACTGCTCCCAACAAGGTCTGTGGGTTATCTTGAGTAATAGCACTACAGGTAAGAAGAAAAATATGTCTTTTGGATTTTGGGGTGAACTTTCCCTTTGATGAAGAACCTGTAATAGGAGGTCAACATGGATCTTCATACTTTGAAGATGTGACAGAATGTATGAGAATACTAAGAGAAGGGTTACAAAGTGAAAACATCAACATGCAGTTAATATCAGCGACACATACCTCAATATATATA